AAGGAGCCCTGTGTTGAGTTGGCAGTTTGCCATCCATCTAAAAAAATGGGATATGAGTTTCTGCTTTCCTCGCTTTTGCTTCTGCCCTTTCTCAAGAATCTTGTTCTCTTTTTTCACTCCCTCTCTTTTGACAGACTGCAGGGATAGAGGGGGCAAGAATGTTTTAATGTAAAGGTAAAATTTGTTGCATTTCTTAGCAAAATAAAATGCTTCTGATCATAGGCTTGTTGTAAAGGTGTGCCTGATTGAGACAGTGTAGTGTAGTATGAGAGAGGGTCTGCAGGGTCTGTGTGCAAGGATGTTACTTCGATAGCAGATTTATAAAGAGGGAGTGCTCGTGATATTATGCTTTTCTGCTGAAGAGACCTTTGATCCTTGTAATCTTTTGGAAAAATGTGTAATTACAGTAAAACACCAGCAAAGACTCGTCTTGTTTTCTTAACTTTACTGTAATATTTCAGTAACAGAGTTCTTCTCTCCCGAAGAGCAGCAGTTTGATTTATTGGTCACTAAAAAGGTGCTTTTGCAGATGAAGCCACAGGAAAGCACAAGCTATTGAATCGAGTGACATGTAAAAATGCTTTTTTGAAATGAAATGCCAATGAGCAGAATTCATCTTTTCTCTGCCCTGTTGCTCCAGTAATGCAGCAGTCAATGAGCTGCCTTGTAAAGAGGTTGTCTGCATCTCACGCTGATTTGAAAAGTATGATAAAACCATGAATAGAAGAAAACTAACATAATTAGTGACGCATACAGTATGAAAATCCAATATATAGAATATATTTTCTACAATAGACACCCTTTTGTTCTCCAAACACTGTCGTTGACTATTAAATATCACTGCTTTCACAGTGCACCCCAGCATTGTTAAACTGTTTGATTCATTTTTCCAGTTTTAGAAATATGTTTATTGGAAGTTAATCTAAAGCAGAGTATCAAGTTCCCAAGTGTTAAGCAGTTGCAGTTAAAGAAAAAAAGGCTTGATTTATTTGTATTTTCTGATAAAGTCTTCTCTGCTTCCTGTTCCTTTTTTGTTCTGTTTTCTAAATTGATTGAACTTTGCTTGCATTTGTTCTTCCCACCAATCTCCCAGTGAGACAGTAGTAATTATTTTATAATTGAGGTTTTACAGCTTCAAGCCATCATTGGTTGATTAGTGAGATCACATTAGGTGACAAAAAAAATATTCAGAGGTCCAAATTAGAAGATTTTGATTGCCTTTAAATTAGGCCTCTGAAGTATACAGTGCCCTGATTACCAGGGAGTGAATTTTGCTTGTTACAATTGTTAAAATGCAGAACAATTTAACAATGAAGCTGTTCATTTTAAGGGTAAGTACATGACCTCTAGCCTTCAGTTTGAAGCCAGCTTGTTGCAGAATGCCACCAAACTGTCTTTCTAGCTCCTAAAATCTGAGCAAAATTTGTTTTCAGTCCTCTTGCAGTATGAGATAAAAGCAAGTTTAAGTATGCAAAGTATACAGTATTGCATCAAATAATGTGCAATGTCACAAATTAGTCTGATAACCTACTGTAGTTGTTTGGGCTTATTTACTTCTCACTACTCAACCATTCTCATTTTCACCAGTAGTATAGATGTGCCTGGTATCATCTTTCAGATTGTTAAATATTCTCCATTTGCATAAATTACCAGTCAAATATAGCAACACTCAACCAGCAATTTAGCACCTCAAAGTCAGTGTGAGATAATTTTCCACCTCTTGTGCCATTTTCACACATGTACAGTAGTAGACAACAGGACATAGTCCGTGTCAGATACATTCTCACCTACTGGAAATCCCCCCTTTTGGTGTATGCAAGAGGGGTGAAACCCTGTGTAGAGTGGAAATTTTAGGTACTTTTAAATGTGTCTGCTGATTATGGCACCAGCTCTTAATGACAGAAGTTCCTGAATCTTATTGTCTCCATATTTCTGTTGGTGTCTTCATTATAGATTACCATTTTTCTTCACCATCAAATGTCACTCGCATAATAGAATATCATCAATGCACCCACTAGTTTGATATGAATGATCCAGACTATACACTGCCGTTTTCTTACATGGGCTCACTCCAGCTCATTTGAACATTAGACAACTGGAAGGGTAAAGTCAGCTTAATGTTCAAGCCACTTGATTTGGACATTTGTTGTCACATACAGCTCCTCCGGAAAATTCCAGTCATCTTCTCCTGCTACATATAATTAGTCCTTGATCAGGCGAAATGCTACCTATTGAGTGGTTTATGCATTTTTTATGACTGTCCCCTCAGTACTGATGTACTGACCTCAAACCCCTACAGTTAGACACACAGATGAAGTGGAAAAACTGGAACATTTCTTTTGAGTGATTCATCCTTCTAATAGTATGGATATTTTTAAGGCCAAGCCCTATAGCCCTTAAAAATAGTCCTTGTAGCCAATAGATAAAGGTGATAAGAGGCACATGCTTTTATGAAATTTGCTACTGTTATATAAACACACAAGTCCAAGTCTGATGAGCAGACTTGCTAAAAATCTACAGACCACTGTATATGAGCACAACATGCTGCTTAATCCCCCTCTTTCTGAGCTGTGTGATCAACTGTAGCTTTACAGACAGGTGACAGATTAAAGTAAAAACCTTGAATAAATGTGCTCTCTTCCAGGAGCATGAAAATGATGTGAATAATTATGCTTTAACCTCATCCTAAATGAGCACCTATGGGAGGTTCCACCACCATCATCAGAACACCAAATGGTGGAATATCGTTTAGAAGAATCGTGTCCATCCCTTCAGTAGAGCCCAGAGACTTGTAGAATTAATGCCAAGGCACACTGAAGCTGTTCTGACAGCACGTGGTGGCTCAGCACCTCACTGAGACACTGTATGTTGGCTTTCTTTTTTATTTTGTGACCTGTCTGTATCTCTCACTGTTCTACTCTGTATTGATTTGGACTGGTTACCATTTTAAATAATTGCATCACTTTTCTTTATTGGAGAGAGACAATGATCACGTATGCACATTGAGAGGGGTGTCATGTATATACTATGTACATTCTGCATATTTCCATAGTATTAGAAAAAAAAAACGAGTCACTCTGCTTTATACATCCTTTTTTTTTTTTTTTTTTTGGGGGGGCTCAGTCAATGCACTAAACCCCTGGTTGCTCTTAATATCTACAGTGTGCACAGTATTAGTAGTTCACCGTTCATACTGTATAGTACGTCTAGTGGTTGCATGCCGCGTTATTATATCGAGTGCTGCTGGAGTGGGTGTACAGGAGACTCTTTGTCATATTATTATATTAACTGGAAGAACTGCTGGGAAGTGTTTTAGCAAGATTTTTAGTTAGTTTTTTTTTTACCTTCTCATTATTCTGAAAGAAGAAATTTTGTAAAATGTCATTAGAAAATAAAGCCTTTGCTGTTTTGCGCTTGTGCGTGTTTGTATTTACATCCATGTGTATGTATGTGCTTTACTTCCTCAGTGCAGTTAGCACTGCAAATGGAGCCACTTTTCTTTATCTCTGCTTGTTTTTGCATTTTGTCTTCAAAGTAGACTTTTCTCTTTACCGCAGCTACAGACACACTTGAAGACACACACACACATTCATGCCTGAACACACATGCAAAACTAACAACACAGACTTTCTGTGATCCCTTAAAAAGCTTCTCAGAATGAGTGTAAGCAACTTTTATTCCTCACACACACATGCGTGCACACTTTTTCTCCTTTGCACAGTATATTTTCTCAGCAGATTTTCATACTTATTTGATGTTGCTTTTTTGTATGTCTCTAATAATGAGGTGTGACCCTCTTGCTCTGTTCATTTCATTGCTATTAAAGGAAAACCTCATCCTGCTATAGGAATACGTTTTCTAATTGCTCTAAATGAACAGGTAGTACACCATGGAAATTATCAGTAGAGGATGACTACTAATCATTATTCCTCAATGATTTTAGATTAGGCAAGGCTGTGCATGCTTACCTTCATGTTGCATTGTCCTGAGAAAGGATTTTCACATACAGAGTGTGATAAGGTGCCTTGCATAAATGTCAATCTGTTTCAGATAAACTTTGAATTAAAATTTCCAGATCATGACATTGACTTAAATTAAAAGAAACGCAATGAAAATGCAGTGATTTGCATAAAGTATTCCATATTGTAGCTCCAGGTTTTCATTGCCATTTAACTGCTAATTCTTGTGTGTACTGGGACTGTGGAAACAGCTGATTAAAAATGCATCAACATCATATCCTAAGGTTATCTCTGATTAATATGCACTCTCAAACCACCACATTAGTGAAGGCTCATGGGCATGAATATTTCATAGAAAAACTATCCAGTGGTTTGCACCTGGCAACAGGTGCACAGTTGCACATCTGAAGTTGGTCAACAGAAGGCGGGTGTGAAACCCTAGAGCACTGACTGTTGATGTGGTGCCGCTGACTGTGTGTCATGTCTCTTCTGTCTGTCTCTGATTACATGTAATGCAAGAGGACACCTCCTGACTGCAAGCTGCTTGAAATTCAATATCCTAAACGATGGAGACAGAGCAATAATAAAAAAAAAGAAAAAGGATGGAAAGAAATAATGGAAAGAATAACTTTTAATGTGGGTACCAGCGCTCTTTCCTGCTGGTTTTCCTCTTCCAGAATGCTTGGTATCAATTTACCGAGAACGTGTTTTAATTTTTAAATTCATTCAGATTTTTAATGCAGCCCTCTACTGCTCTTGTGGAATACTGTTAGCTAGCAGCTATTGGCAGTAAGAAGAGATCTGTTGGCCACATTTGTAAAATCTGTCTGTAGTTTGCTAACATCCACCATATTTTTTCGTGGAGGCCTCTACAGTATATCCTCAGTGAAATTACTTCTTTTTCCAGTTTTCTAGTGTATATTCTTTTTTTTCTCTTTTTCTAACATCAGAGTTGTTCTTCAACCAACCGTTACATGCTTTTCTTTCCTTCCATGCTTCGGCTCTGCTTCCCTCTGGCTCTACTAACCCCTGACCCTTCAGACTGGCAGTATGAGGGTAAGAGGGCAACCATCTGTCATCTGTTTTCCTTTTGTTTTATTACATTCCCATAGTCTCCTTTTCTGTTTTC